TACTAATGTAGGGGTAGAAACAAATGAGGCTGAAAAGGAAGCTACAGACTCACCTTCCTGTACACAAGCCCTGTTACTGCAGTTTTCAGTCTCAACCCCAGAACAAGACACATGTACATATATCGTTGTTCGAACAGAGTCTGGAGACAAGCCAAAAGGAACATAGTGAAGGCATAGAAATAGCCATGCCAGCTAGGTGCTTCTTGATCTTCAATGAACTCCAGGAAAAGGCTGCAAGGCAAGAGCAAAATATTGATGAATCCATGTAGAACTGGTGAAATATCAGATACACAAAAATGCAGAAATGCCAGGGCTTTTTTTCTGTATTCTCTCTGGCTGGTGTTTATCTGTAAATAGCAGAAGAATTGAAAAAACTGCTAAGTATCCTATGTCTTATAATATCCCAATTTTTGTCATTTAGCCACCCTTGGTTTTGAAGCAATCTCTGATCTCGGCATCTTCTAAGGGGAGACCTCATTTTCATTATTAAGGATTGCTCCTGAATTTCATGACTTTGTTATAAATATGCAAATTAGGAGCCATAATCTAAGGAAGTAATTGACACTTCCAAAACTTCTCTTAATCTTAATGACTAAGAAATTATTTTTGCCCTTGAAAATATACTGTAATGCAGGTTTGTGTTATACCAACACAATCCACAAAGCATTATGTCACCTGACTAAAGAAGCTATTTGAGATGTGCAGAATGCACAGCTCTGTTATAATTAGTCATGGAACACGGAGCATTAAGACTACGACAAGTGGTTGACAGCCTGTGCAAATGATGTGATATGTAGAACCATCAGATAACTCACTCCTGTTCTAGTAAAGTAAAAAGGTTTAGTGCAGCCTCTCCTTTCCACTGTTGGAATACAGCAGTGGAGAAAGTGTGCACAGCTTTAGACAGTGTTTTGTTTTTTCCCCACTGAGCCGGCTGTGGTCTTAGCACAAATGATAGTCCAGCTCTTTTCATCAGCAAGAGGAGATTTCAAAATATATGTGTTTGTGTTCCCCCTCTGTGGGTGTTGGGAAACGCACCTCTGTGCGAGGCCATGCACGCAGCAATCTTGTACTTGTGATAGAAATACATTATAAATATGCACATACCTCAGTAACTTTGGGATGGAGAACAAGAAGACATCACAGATAACTAAGCAGACAGTGCTGAGAAGGAAGTAGGTTCCAAACATGCTCCAAAACACTTTCAGTAAGGGCCTGCTCTGACTGTGCTCTGATTGCAGTAGAACCTGTGTTTCTTCAGCTTCTGCTATGTCAGGTTCACTCTTCTTACTCTTTTTAAATGTAGCAGATTCCATTTTTCTAAAGAAAGAAACAATGAGAAAGCTAGCCACTACTGGAGAAAGCTTCGGATCTCATGATTCCAAAAAATGATTAAGTATCTCACACTGGGTCTCATGCCATGTCCAGTACAAATGCTCATCAAAAAATTCTCTTAAAAAACCTTTGAGTTCCATGCTTCTGGGAATGGAAGGATGTTCTCCAGCAGATTTCAACACTTAAAATCAGATTTTGCACAAAGGAACTCACTTGAGTGCTCACCCACTGAAGAATAAAGACCCCCAAGTTTTCATAGCAGAGCATTACTCGGACCATTTTACGTACTCTATCCTTTTCTTCTGGTTGTTTAATGAACAAATAATTCAGTGGGATTGAATCTTTCAACCCTTCTCTTCTCCAGATATGACGCGTCTAGCAGAGCTTATGTTCAGAGCCTGAATCTACGCTGAAGCAGTCTGCCTAGCATGCTGTGGGAAATGGAGAGGATTAAAGCCTGTTCTGAGATGGCACACCAGCACCTGTGAGCATATTTGTTTATATCATTGAGAGGCAGGAGAGAAACTGCCCAGCTGAGACCATGACTCGCTCTCTATATCAAGTACTCACTGCTGGGTTCTGCTCTGACACTTCTTCCACTCTCTTTCAGCCCAGGCAACAATTTCTTCAGAGGAGTCCTCTTTCCTCACTGGCCACAAGTCATCCACCCCCAAGGACTGCTGACAGCCTTTCCAGACAAGCCTGGAGAACACACAGACTGCTGTAAGGTAAGCACAGAAGAATTTGTTGTGCCTTTTCACAACAGATGGGCCTTAAGTCAGTGCACCACAGTCAGCACATAGACTGACTTACATAAAACACTACCTGGGACTATCCTTTCCCAGAATAAATATGAATGTTCAGGACCAGCAGTTTTGCTTCAAATCCCCGTGCTATCTTCTGTCAAATTAATGAGGATTTGCAAGTAAGCCCTCATTTCTAGTCCATATTGAGAGCTGGGTCTTGGGCAGTGGGGGACGAAGTTCAGTTTAACTTACTCTGTGGCTCAGTGAAACACAGACAAGGCCTTATCATAGCAGACATTAGGCCCAAGATAGGTAATCATTTTACTTCTGAATGCTAAGCAGCAGGCTGGGCCAATATCCTCATTCGCTGTTTTCCCCTTGCCCATCACTTGTCCCAGGAAGGTCTGGCAGGCAGGTAGGGCTGTGCTTGGTGTACCTTTTGAGATTGCTGAGGTCTGTTTCAAGATTGGGAGGGCACTGGAAAGGTAGTTGGAAGGGGGAAGAGAATTATCTAGAATCACAAATTTGTGTTTTGAACTGCTTTGTGTAAAGTAAGTTAAACTTTTATAATTTGATCTTGTAAGAATACCTCAAGTCCCCAGAGAAAGAATTTAAATCCTCACTGCATAAGCTAACTCAGGGGCCGAGATGTTTCTTACTGGCTGTCATCTACACCCTCTCTTATGCTGTTTTTTTTTTTCTTATATTCTGGCAAACCCACGTCTTTTTCTGTGTTTTCTTACCCAGAGAACCACCAGTATGTGATTTTGGAAAGAAAAGAGCTGCTGGCTTCTGGACACTGATTCTGATGGGAGGAAAAACATGGGTGATATTTATACATAGAAAAGGGTATTTGTCAGATGAATATAATCCCCTTCTGTGCTTCCCCAGGAAAAGTAATCAAAAAGTTACACACACCCCATTCATTGACCCTGACAGTGTAAATGTATTGTGGAAGATCAATGGGATCGGGAGACTTGGGAGAATTAGACTTTGAAGAATGTCTCAGATGGAGGAACAAAGAATATAATTCGTCATACCCAAAGACATTAATTTGCTGAAGAACACAGCTCTGCCATACTTATACCTCAAACAGAGTACTGCTGCACAGGAGAGCATATGGAAGCAGTATGAGCCCTATCTACTAGTTTCAGTGAAAATAAACATGAGCGTGGATAGAAAAGGCTTTTAGTTTTTCAAAACATACATAGAGAGACAGAGTACTGTTATCCCAAATTCTGCCGGTTACCTTTTAAAACCGTCAGCCTTTATATAGAATGATGCATCTTGTATCTCCCAGATACTCGTGTCCCTGTGTATCCCCATAAATTTAAATTCCGGTTTGAGCAATGAAGTGATGCATTTTGAAAAGCTACATTATACTTACAGGATTGTTGACAGCTTTAGAGAAGAAGGGAGGGTGATCAACTAAGCAGAATAACACAAGTTCTCCTAGCACCAGGCTAGCATAAAGGTAAGTTGTAACATGGTAGAAGTGGTCTTCCAGGAAGCCCTAGGAAACAAAATACTCTTGAGAATGAGGTAAAAACCTTCACGTGAACACAGCAGAGAAAGCTGGCTTCTCATGTTCTACCAGCCATAAGCTCTGAGTTTTGGGTTGGGGCATGAGGTGCATTTGTTTAAACTGTAGTTATGTAGAGCTACTTAAATATATCACACTCCTGAAACTGGAATATCAGAAAACGCTAAATAATGGACGCATTTGTTATTTGTAGTGATGGTTTTATGGTGAGGCTTCATAGCAGCCTAGTCAAGTCAGGCATCCACATTGCATCATTATTCAGGGAACTTAGGGTGCTATGGGGGATAGAAGCTCCTTGCCCACCTAGTGAGATGAGTTGTTGCTATAACACAGCAGCTGCCAGGTTTTATTATAAACGGTGTGTCTAAGGGGCTCCACAATGGGTGCTCTAATTAATTTTTTGAACAAGAAAGTGTTGCGACGGGGGAAGACATGGACACTCAATATGAGCAATCAGCAAGCTTCGTTTATTGAATAGCACAGCTGTCTTTTATAATGGGCTAAAACATATTCCATATTTACTCTACTATAATTGGCTACTACATGTTTCATATATGCTCTGCTATAATTAGTTATATGTGTTCCAACAACACAGCATTCTGATTGGTTCATCACTCCAGCCCTTAGCTCCTTATCTATGGCTAGCTACCTCTTCTTTTCCCCTGCAACTACTCCCTCTTTTCCCATGCCTAAGTAATCACAGCCTTCTCATTACCGTGCAGCACCTGCAGTCAGGGTCAGGGTGCCCTTGCCAATTAGCAATCACAGGAACTGGGTCCGATGTTTCCCAAGCTCCTGCTCGGCCAGCTGGATCATATCTATGTTACCCTTCTCAGCTAGCCAATTTCCCACAAGAAAGAGCAAAACCAAGGGAAAAGTCTGGGTATTTTTGGAACTGTATTTTGGTAGCAAGAAGTGGCAAAGTGTTACGTCTACAAGAGGTCTGGTGCCTGAGCATCATTCAGCACAGCAGGAACAAGCACATTCCCAACTGTCTTTTGTTTAGTGGCTTCATGTTTTTTCCCCTATTACTTAAATACAGAGATAACATAAACTTTTGTTTATTCCTTGTTGTGGTGGAAAGGTATAACTGTTTGCCTGAGAAAAATGGCCACTAACAATGTCTCAGATGCGTAAACCCAGCCAGCGCTCCTCCACAAATAAACATCCACCAAAAATACCCAAATAATAAAAATGTATAATATATCAACATATTTATGATGATACAAAATCTGGCATAAGGCCAGTTTTTAGTGACAGCGTTTATCTTCAGTTTGCTTTTATTCATACATGAAGTCTGTTCAGCTCTCGGAAAACCACTCTGTCTATACTGAAAGGGATAACATGGATGGAGATGACAAAGTGTCATCAACCATTTTTCTCAGCACGTATCTTGAAAGGAATTTGGTTCTCCACCTCACAATCAATGGGGCAAAAAGAGCCCTGTTGTTTCGAGCCTTCATTCCCCTACATGTTAAAGATATGTGATTTCACTTACCCTTTCCAGGGCATCTTGGACTTTGGAGCTAAATGTCACAACTGCAGCCATGAATGAGAGCAGCCAGTAAACCAACAAGATGCCTGAAGACTGGATGCCCATCGTTCTTTCCGCTTGGGTAAGGAACATGGCAAGGATCTGCAAGGAAGTACAAATTTGTCCGAATAAATAGCTGGTAATGGCATGCTGAACATTACTATTATCAGTTTAATGGATACAATAGAGAAAAATCAGTTAGTTTCTTGCCCAAACATTTCAAGATGTTCAGAGCTTCGGTATTGTTCCTAAAAGGCTAAAACTGAAAAGCATTATGTGCAATTTTGCACTCAAGAATGTATGTTCAGAAAGGGCAAGTAATAAAACTACAGGCTGGGAGGATCTAGGCTATGAAGATGCAATGACAGAAGGGGAGGAGAGGCATTTCGGTTGAACACAAGTCCCATTTTATTCTAAACCATGCTAAATCGCATACCGTGGTTATGAGAAACTAGAGCTTGTCTTCTTGTTGTGGGACCTCTTTCTAAACACTGCTGCTACCCTGGCTCTTGTGAGGTGTACTCTGCTTGCCCGCAGGGCTCTGTGCTGTAGCTGTAGGCCCAGTGGTCTGCCCCAGCTCCACAGCCCTGCTGCGCCACACAGCAGAAGCTCACAGTGCACGTCTCCAGCCTTCTGCTCCCCTTGAGCGCTGCTCGTGCTCAAAGATACTGAGAAACATGGGAAATACAATATCTGCCCCAGGAGGGCTAAGCTGGGCCACACACAGACAAAACAGAGGCAGAATTACCATTGTGATTCCCACCACGGCAGGGCTGATGAAGAATGCTGGAGCCCGTGGGATTCCTCGGCTTATCTCCCACAGCATGAAGAAGACATTAGAAAAACACAGTATTACCAGGATGAATCCAAGGACCTGGGGCAGAGACAGCAAACACACATCGGGATGGACTGAAATGATGATGGGACGATCTACCCAACTGAATGCTCCAAGCAGGCTGGGCGGTGAGACTGAAGAGGTGGAAGGAAGAGCAGGTTTGGGATACAGAGTGTTATAGGAGGGAGCAGGGAACCGAATGGAAGTACCGGGGAGAAGATCTTATGACAATTCTTCCTAAAACTTTACTTGATTTATACTGAGCTACCTTTACCTGAGCGAGTAAATGTCAAAGCAAACACAGAGATGGATCATAAAAAAAAAAAAAAAGAGTAAACGATTTAGAAAAACTACGTCCTGCATCAAAGTTGTGATAATGTTAGGATCAAACCCCATCCTCCACCCTTACCATTTTGGTTTTGAAGATGTGGGACATCCTGATATAGCCTTTATTTTTGTGTCGAAGATACAAATAGTAGAAAGGAAAACAGATCCAAAGATAGACACAAGGGATCCAAGCAATGACTGTACTCTCAAAACACCGGGTAAATCTCGGGGTGTTTGTATACCAGGTCTGGTTCCAGTCCTGTCACAGAATCAACACAGAAGTGAAACAGTCAAGTTAACGTATGCAGAATTTCAGCAGCTAATGCAAGTTGCTAGTGCAGATCTGCTATAATGTTAGAGGAATTTGATTAGGGGTTTCAAATGTAAAAATATTTGGCAACAGAGGGGCTGGTGGAGAATAGTAAGCTGTCACAGGGGAGGGAGGGAGGACTCAGCAGTAGCGTTTTGGAGAGAATGGAAGTAGAAAGAGAGGAAAAAAAGAAGACATTATGTATCAGAACTAGAGAGGAAAAAACAACACAGGAAATTTAAGTTATTGAATGTAGAATGAGAAAAAGTAATTTGGGAATGAAAAAGATTATAGGCATATGGAAACTATCAGAATAGTCAGTAGGGAATGACTGGTGAAATGAAGATTAAGAGGAAAGAAGTGTCCTAGTGCATAAACTGCATCGCAATTGCATTTCCTCAGCTGTATTTATAATACATTTGTAATTTTTTTGAATGAACAAATAGCTGCATCTCATGTGCTAACATAATAATACTAAAAATACAGCAAACTGTAGATGAACAGGTGAGGGTATTTTTTCTTCAGCAGCTAGTGGAGGTGGTTAGAGTCCTTTCTGTGAAGGATATGATGCAAAGCAAGGCTAGGGGAGAGGAACCACTCGATGCAAAGAGTAAGCAAATGGCTTACAAATTATTATGGTAGTTTATCAACCTTGAAAATGGAAATCCGCATGAGACTGGACTGACCGACTCATTAGAGCCCTTTTAAAGCTATTTCTTTAGTGGGTGATTCAGCAGATACTTTCTGAAGACCTTCAGTACTTCCGCGCTCCCTTGCAACTCTCACCAAATTTACTGTAACTGGACAAAGACCGGGGCTGTTGTTGATTTGGGTGAAAACTTGTCCCTGGGGGGCAAAGTCCCCGACACCAGCAACCTCCGATGGGAATATGCTCTTCACCGCTTACAGCGTCTCAGCCGCCTTACTGCAGCCC